CATGATGTAATCATGCAAACAAAATAAAAGCGAGGTTACTAGGATTAAGACTTGGGGTCAATTTAATAAAACTTCTACACTTGTAATCTACAAGTTGGACCGTTGTATTTACAAGTGCAGACGAAAGGGAGTTTAATAAATATATCTTATTAACCAAGCGCGAGGGCCGTACTGGGAGAATATCGGCCCGAGGTCTTGACAGTACGGACCGAGCGCAGCGAGGTCCGTACAAAAAAGACCGAGGGCCGATATTCTTCCAGTACGGTCCCGAGCAAGCTTGGTTAATAAGAGATTTATTATACGACTGAAGTTCAAAGGGACACAAGTGCGGTATCATTCGGGACCATTCGGGACAGTGCCCGGTCCAATACTGAGTGAATATTGACCGGCAATAGAGCATTTTGATTGGTTGAATTTAGTTATTGGCCCTCTGACTGCCCGAGTCGTGTAATAATTTAGTTTATTGCAACTTTTATTCTTTTTCAATTCGATTAGTTGAAACCCGTGTCTGTCTAAGAGTTAAAAAAAATTATGTAATGCGATCAATTTTTTTCATTTCATAAATCAAATACTAAAAAGGTAAGAATACGTCTGTTGCTGGATTCAACCATTAATATTAGCCAGTGTTTGAAAAAACAGATCCTTGGTACTAGATGAACATGAAACATGTTTCTTATAATAAAGAGTATCTATCATCTGCAAACTCAAGCTAAAAAAGGCAACTATAAATCGCGACCCTATAACTCCTTTACTGCTTTTCTTTATCGGGTAATGACCCTGAATAGTTACTGATCGCTATTAATTAATGTAGCATAGTGAGCTGTTCTTGTTGAGTCTTAGCGCGCTTCTATTGGTACATAATTGTTTGGACGAGTTTGTATTGTTTTCCTACATACCAGTTTACTTATTGGCTGACTGCTTTGCTTTTTGCCTTCAGGCGTGCACGCATCAGGAATCTCAATTCCATTGAATCTATTGATATAATTTGCATAAGCCATGAACATTTTGCGGAGAAAAACGCACGCTGATAGCAGCTAATCATAAATGTTAAATGAATAAGTAACAGTGAATAAACACACTTTTCAGCACAGATATGCAATAACTTTTCTATTTCACCTTAAATACTTTTTCTGTATAACTGTTTTCTAACGCAACTACAGAGAGAGGGGGCTAATCAGTGGCGGATCTAGAAGAGGGGTGCGGGGGTTGCACACCCACCTCTCCCTGACAGGACCTGCGGTTTTCATGTGTAACTAGTACTGAGCAAAAAAAAAAAAAAAACAAAAAAAAGATTAAAAAAATAATCTATGTAAGTTTTGGTTTTGAAGTAAAACATGAGACGAGGTTAAAGAATCTATATTAAACTCAGCAAAAATGGTAGGTTAGCACTAATATTTCCAGAATCAGTCTATCCATTCGTCAGAGGAAACGCCAGTGAGGTTATTACTTCGTGGTTCGCTCACTCCCATAAAAAAAACCCTTGATCCGCCCTTGGTAATAACTACACCATTAATCAGTTTGTTATAGTTTATTTGCTACTGTTTATTTTCCTACTCTAGACCCAGTGTATATACTTGTTTTCTTTATTAGACGAACAGTTTTCAGTTAGTTTTGGTCCTCTGTTATAAGACCTTTCCTGGAATACTGTTCGCCCGTTTTTCGCCATACATTGCCCGAGTATTTAAGTAATGATATCGAACGCGTACAGAAAAGGGCATTAAGTATCATCCTACCACATTGTTCTTACAGTCGTCTATGCTTGCGTAACTATGATTTAGACACTGCAGTCTCGGCGCGAGAAACGGTGTTCTAAACTGTTTGATGCAATCTCCAATGACCAAAAACTATCTCACTTATTTCCTGCCAATCACGTAAACTATTATAACCTAAGGAGAATTAGAAAGTACGACCTCCTTGGCGTGAGCACCAATGCAAGCGTTTTCAGCGGTCCTTCATCCCGAGCATGTGCCGACTCTCAAACAACACTGTGTGAATATTCGTTTGATCAAGCCTGCCGAGTATTACTCAATCTTAGTGATATTTTATCTTTTTAAAGTTTCTGATACAATTCTAATTATTTATTACATTCCTGTATGAACTATACTCCTGTATGTATTTATGATAGCCTAGTATATCATTGTTAAATATCATGTAATTCAAACCCCTTGGCTGCGATATAATATTTGTTATGAAGCCATTAAAAACTAAAATACTATCAGAAACTAATGGACAGATATATTGTACATATTTGATACCTTACTTAACCTCAAACAATTCTACCCTCAAACATGGCCACGAATTGTATTTTAAAGGATAAAAACGAACGTATCTGGCTTTGAATTCATTTTTAAGTAAATGCTTCACGATGCTGTTCCGATCTGAGTTTCCTCGGAACACCTGGAATAAAGAAAACCGAAAAAAAATGAACAACTTGTTGCACCAATTCTAACTACAGTAAAGTGAGGAGGTGCTGGGGGAAAGTGGGGGGCATTTTAACAGATGTCAATTACTGTTTTTGTTAATATGTGTCATCCGCCCTCTTTGCAAGTATACTTAAGGAGTTTTGAAAGTTATCATATTATAACTGATGAAGGTCTCGGACCGAAACGTTTTTTATTAAACTTTTATATTTTTTTTTTATTGAGTACACATCTTCCTTCGCTCATTTCTTTGACACATTTTTTGGTGTATTGTATTACGACGCGGCGTTTCCAAATGGAGTTAATTTTCTGTAACATTTTTCACTTTACATATTTTTTTTTATCTTAGATTGTTTACTATTCATCCTCTGATAGCCATATTGTCAAGGTGACTCGATAATTCCCTTTATCCAACTATAAAAATATGCTCATGAATCTTTTTCCCGAGTATCAATGTTGCTGATACTTAAGCTATTGTGTGCAGCGTGCACATATTATGTCACCATTATGAATTACGAAAACAAAAGAGACAAAAAAAAAAAAGAACAAACAAACAAAGCAAAGCAAAATGAGTTAAAGACATTGACAAGTCCAGGAACAGAAAGAGAGACGGAGAAGGAGTCTTGTCTTTTCTCACGAAATCCGGAAAACAAAATATTGTCATGAGAAATATTTTAGCTAATATATCGTGGATGGAAAAGTCTTCCCGGAAAAATGTCCAACTAATTTCTAAATCTCTTGGACCTCACGCACCAAACGCAAGAATAGATCTAGATGAACTACCTCTGTTGAAGTCATTGAAGCATTTCGTTAAAAAATGAATTGGCTCCAATCCGAATTTAAAGGTCTTTTCCCAATCTCTTCTTAAAAATAAAAGTAAATTATTTGTGAAAAAATACTTTTTGTCTGGGTGAAACGACGTCTCGTCTCGGCCAAAAAGAAGCATTAGATTCCTTTAAAAATTTACAAGCAAAACTGTTGTACACAAGCTTATAATCCCTGACGAACGTTCTCTGCTACAGTGGCCAATGAAGATAAAAGTCCAAACTCGCCATCTATGTGTATGCGATATCTTTGCCAATTGTTTGCATTGACCTCAAAACCTTTTTTAATTGCTGAAAATGTCAATTACAGTTCTTTCCATACCTTTTCAATATTTGTCTCCTCGTAAGTGTTCCAAGTTACACCGTCTGTTGATAACTGTAGTTTGTAGCTGGTGGTCCATACAGAGCTTCTCCGATATCCTTGTGTGGCCACAGCACAAAGAAAACGCACTTCACCCATATCAACTTGAAGATAGTCTGTTCTATTAGATTTAGTCTTAGGACACCACGCTCCGGATCCCCTGGTTTCGTTCAGTCTGCCGTAGTATGGATGACGATAACTATCGTAAAAACTACTTGCTGTCATTCTTGCATCTGGAATTGTATTAGTGTCTGCCACACCAACAGGCCCACATCCTAAGTAAATAAGAATAAATGAAATAAACAGTAAGGTTTATATTTACCTAAACTTATTGCTTTCTTCCCTATCTAGAACAATATGATATGACTAGTACAGACTTTGGGTGCGAATTTTGTTGAGATAGTTGAAAAGGGTAAGAATGCTAAACATTACAAATAGGCAGCGTAAGATCCATGAACATCAGGTGACTTTTAACATTTGTTCGCATTTTCTTAACGCACGTTTAATTTGCGGTCAAACAACTTTTGTTCTGAAAACTATGTATCACAAAGGCGAGCACCGTTTTAAGAATTTCGTTACGTTCGTGAGTATCGTGACACACAATAGGAAATTGAACTTGTTGATTATCCACCCTCCCCACCCCTAATCCCTTTAGTGTGTTACTACTATTTAGCCTTTACAGGATTTATTACCTCCTTTTGGACCTATCGCCATGTAATATCTGTCCTTGTCCTTGACAAAGTCCTCTGGTCTGGCCTCTTTAGTCCGGTTGTTTAACTCACATATTGCAATGAACATGACGACATTATAGCTTTGACATCTGACATCAGCGAGACAAGCCTCTCTACATTCCAGCGCACCTGGTGTAAACTTGAACGTCTTATAGGTGTGGCCCTTAAGTATCATTTGATAAATCGAGTATAGATTACCGCCGGCTCCACAGTGCTGACTGGGAATGTCACGGAACATTTGAGAAATAAAAAACAGCGCGGTAAAAAATGAAGCCTGTCGATTAACCATTTGAAGCATATCAGATCTAAGTACCCGCAAACAAGAAGTTCGTCACTCTTACTAGAAAATGTTTGATGAAAAGAACGGATTGTTGGACAAGTCAGAAGAGAGATGAAAAAGTTGACGAAGTCCAAAAAAATCAATGACTAAGAAAAATATTTTAAATAAGCAAGCTCAAATATGCTTAGCAAAGAAAATATCCCACAAAGCAAGATAGCTAAGGAAGACCTGCAGTTTTGACATTCCATACAAAATTAATGAAGAGAGAATAAAAAAATCATCCACTCCAATTCAATTCTTTTGAGGAGAAACTTCCTCCATGGGTGATTGAAAAAAACAAATCGCTGTCTCTTCAAACCCTCCTCTCTCCTCTTGTAATTCCTTTTTTTTAAATGAAATGAAACAGATATACGAGGAAAGCAAAAGCGCTGGGTAGTTTTCAGTTCACATCCCTCTTGATATCTGGAAAAACATCCATTTGTTTAACTGTTTAAAATTATGTCATATTCCGAAATGGGTGAAAAACTACGTAATTAGGAAACTTTCACAAATAAGCAACGTTCGATTAGAACTCTGGTCACAGGTAAGCCACACTCTGTTGGATAGGAAGAATGATAACCTGCCGCTATGGAGGCGTATGCTGTTTTCCCCTTTAATTTTCAATCCTGACATGGTTTATTTATCCGCCTTCTCTTAAATTGCAAAGTTTAAATAAAGATATGGATAAACTTCTACACATACCTGGTTGACAATACCCTTAGTCTCTTTGACTGACTCGGGTTGATCTTTTTTCGAGGTGCGAAGCGCTATCGCAGGTCGCCAACAGTCAAATGAAGCATAAACGATTTCAATTCTTGTCATATAGCATTCAATTGTCTTCCCTTCCCAATCTCGTTTTGAACTAATTATGCCTTACAGGACAGCCATAACTCACAAACTGAGCAAAGAAAATTAAAGTCCTAAAAATAGTCAGCTGTCTGTTAGCTCATTCCACAGGCGAAAGGACGTCATTTTTAATTTGTTTCGCAGAATATGACCCTGCAGGACCTGAGCAAAATATTTTTGTTTTTTTTACCGGTGTAGATAACCTCGCAACCACATTAACCAAATTTTTGCCCTTTTTACGACTAACGGTTAAAAAAACGTCATTCTTTAAGATTAACCGCTGATGTTTTTGCCTTTTTGTGGCTAACGGTGAACCCCATTAAGCTCTCTATTTTAGAGAAGTCGGGCTAAATATTCAAATTAAGTAAGAGCAGTCGGAATTGACTAGATGGTAGTTGGGTGCACTGAAGTGAAGACACGTGGAGCCTGCTGTAGTTTATTTTGTCGTCTAGTCGCTCTATGTTGAATTAAAGGTGCTACACGGGTTCTTGATGGTAAAAATATGTTTTTAAATCATTTCATTTAGGTGGCCAAATATTGCATAACCTCTTGAATGAAAATCATTCATTTTTCATGAAGTAAGATCGATATTTCAGATAGGTCGGGCTTCATATCTTGGTGCCAATTTTCTTATGACAGGAAGTTTTGGAAAACATTTATTTTTCGATAGTTCCTATTATTGCGCATCTTAAAACACTTGTTGCTTCTTGAGAGTAAAATATGTTTTAAATAATTTCAGTTGAGATGGCCAAATTATTTCAAGCATTACGCCTAACAAGAAGGTAAGTTAACGTTTTAAAGCTTTATGTTCGCAAAGAGACTTGAAGAGAGCTTCGATTTCTCGTTGACAGAGCAATGGGCAACGCATCAAATCTGTTCTTCCAATACTGCCATTTAATAATAGTGTACTGCTAATCTTGAGAGCCTCTGCTTTTTAATCCTTGGCAGGTCTCCAACTTATTTCGGAATGAAAATGAGGGACAAGATATTATGTAAAGCACATCCTTTACATAATTGTTCTACATTGTGAGATATATGGAAGTGTCGATATTTCAGTGGAAGGAAGGTAAATCTACCGGTCGACATTGCCTATCCTAGCAGTATGCAGGGAGCGAGTCAAATATGAAATTCGTAATGACCCCTGCTCACCATAGAGTCTCTGTACGTGGCTCAGTGGTAGTGCATCGGAGCGTAGAATCCGAAAGTCTGAGGTTCTACTCTTCATGGCGACTCAGAATTTGATCTTTGTCTCACGCTCGTGACAAGACGAAAAAAATCAGGCCTGTACGGGATTCGAACCACTGACCTCTGCGATACTAGTGCAGCGCTCTACCAATTGAGCTAACAAGCCAACTTGAAGCAGGCCGTTAAGTTGATTCGTAATAAACCCGTGATGATAAATCAGATACAATGGATATATGAAGTTCATATATTTTGAACTGCGGTATTAAATACGTATGATGCACGATCCTTCGCAGTAGATAGCGCTATTTATGCAATAGCGAAAATCAGACCTGAAAAAAAAAAACAAAAAAACAAAAAAAAAACAAAAAAAAACTCAGGTCTGATTTTCGCTATTGCGTAAACTGCGCTATCTACTGCGAAGGATCGTGCATCATACGTATTTAATACCGCAGTTCAAAATATATGAACTTCATATATCCATTGTATCTGATTTATCATCACGGGTTTATTACGAATCAACTTAACGGCCTGCTTCAAGTTGGCTTGTTAGCTCAATTGGTAGAGCGCTGCACTAGTATCGCAGAGGTCAGTGGCTCGAATCTCGTACAGGCCTGATTTTTTTCAGGTCTGATCTTCGCTATTGAATAAATAGCGCTATCTACTGCGAAGGATCGTGCATCATACATCAATACACTCGTTGATAGCAATTTCAGCAATCTCTTGATCATTTATTTTCACCGTGAATCTAATTAAATTTATCCAACCTCCCTTTTGACAAGATTAAAGATAGGTCAAAACTAATTATAACCCCGTTATTTAACTGCGTGCTGAATAAAATATTCTACTAAAAATATGGCTTTTGGAAGGCGAAGTGTAGTTCTTTTCGATCCAAAAGAATTTTTGGGGAAGTGATTCAGTGCGATTTAATCAAATTTTAAAGTTGGATAAATTAAAATGAGCTGATTTGACGGTGCCGTCAATTAGTCGGAAATGTACACATTCGCACACAAACTCAATCGTTTCGTATTAGCTCATTTAACATAATATCATCTTACCGCCCATATTGCTGTATCACAAAAGGGGACTGCAGTCTTAAAATTGTTGCATCGCTTCCACAATTAGCGATATGACTCGGCAGGATAGTCAACACCTCCTGATTGTGATTGTTTACAAAGCATATCTCGGGGATTCTTTTATACCCATTTCGTTGAAATACTTTACGTAAGAGATCTTTGTTTATTCAACCGAACCGTTAACCAAATGTAAGCGGAATGTTACTAGTTCAGTGACCTGCTTCTCGTGTGAGGAATAACGCAGTTATTCCACACACGAGAAACAGGTATCTGAACTAGTAACATTCCGCTTACATTTTGGCTTATTAACTTAAAATGAGGTCTTTTAAAATAAAACGCAAAAATAAAACATTGGACTGCGAAGCACGTGGCTACAGGAACTGAGGTCGAGTGTTACACACACGAAAAAAGAGCAAACAATTATCTAACGCCCATCATTATTTAATGTATCATGATAATTGATTGTTTCATGGTACTTCCATGGTTAAAGCTCATTTGAGGACAAAAGGAGTAAAGATCTGCAAAGGGAATAGCCCATCACTGCAGATATGCAACAGAGAAAAGTACAGTGTTTGAATGTTTGTTTCTTTAAAAGAAGTTTGATAAGGATCAAACCTGGATAACCACAACTTTCGCTGAACCAGCCAACGTTCAACAGCTTTATATTTATACTACTTCTTCCTTAGAGGCTACTGTGCCTCGTTAGTTACTCGTGCTGATAGTAAGACTACGACCCAGGCAGCACATCTCATATTTACATTCATCTTTTTCCGGCAAAGGTCCAAGAAAGTTCACGTCTGGAAATAAAATTACCATTTTTGCGTATCTCCGAACTCCAGAAACGCTTCGATTAAGCATTGCACCAGCTGATACAGCAGACGCGAGTGCGGGTCGGTAGACCTCACATCAACGATTTGCATTTTGAAAAATCAACTCAACTAGTTAGTTATTTAAGGAGGTAACCGAGTAAGCAGTGATCGATCTCCCTCAAATATGGTCAGGTCCAAAGCCATCAATGCATTAATGGCGATATATTATAGAGCGTAGCTGATGCTTAATGACAAAGTTAACACAAGCCTGTTGTCTGTTCAGGCCAGAATGTTCACACCCATTGCGAAAAGACTGACATCCAGATTTGACTATAAAAAGAAAGTAGACAAACCCATACTGTGCTTATCTCATTAATCTTTCCTTCGAAGAAGATAAATTTAAGAAGGGAATGACTACTTCTTACAGAAGTCCAAAGCCAATGGATGCATTATATGGCGATATTAGAGAACATGGTTTGATACATCAGAAGGAGCTCGGCGCCTCCAACTAAAGCCTCTCGTCCACCCCAAACCAAGCTCTGCACCACGCAAGGGACAAATTGCATGGAATGTATGTTAACAGGAGGAGAGAATATGGCTGCTCGGCTAAGAACAAGGTCACCTTCGCCTTTTGGCCCGGTAAAAAACCGAAACTAGCGGAATGGCTATCAATCCGCCTTGAACAGGTAAGAAGAGGTATAATTACCGTTTCCCGTTTTCTGGATCGTTTTTCGAAGTCACAAAGTGTACTCCTACTAAAGTTTTGAAGAGGCAGCAGATATCTTTAAAAGAAGAACGACGCGCAATGCTGTTGCAGAGTTTACATCTTTTCTCTGCAACTCGTTTTATTAGTAAACGAAAATGCAAGTTTCAAGGTAATTTCTTTAATTAATCAAACAATAAATAGCGATTAAAATAGTAAGGAAGAGAAAAAAAAAATACGATTAAATCTTTCATCGTCTTAAAAAAATACTTACAAATCATTTAATCAAAGTACAAAAACATGTGTAAACGAAACGGGGGAAATTTTCATACCATCGCAGTTTCCAGTCTCCGCCGTCAGCGACCGC